ATGGGAAAAATATAGATGCAGTCCAGTATATAATACTATGGTATGTAGTTACACTGTATCATTATAAAACAGTTGCCAATTGTCATTGTTAGACCATGCTGTCCTTTTGACAGTATGGCCCTTTCTTATATTATAGGCAAACCATCAAAACTTTAATATGATCAAATAGCAATAGAAGCCAATTTTTTTACATAAAAATTTTACATGAACATTGAAATGTGTTTGCTAGGGATGAGTCAGATCTGAATTAATCCAAAATGGAATCAAACCAGTTTAGACAGATTTTTTAACTCTGCTTAATAGTAGGATACCACCAAAGCAATCAGAACTAAAATGACACTATTTTTAAGCTTCATATGCTTCTTGTATTTTAGAGCACTGAAAAAAAATCAAATATAGTATGTCTCCCTCCCACATTACTTTTGTTGCTCTATAAAATTCTAGAAAAGTGAGAATGGGGAAGAAATGAATAGAGACTGAGTGATTGACCAAGCTATTTTCTAATCACAGAAAATGATGCATTCTAATCAAGGGATGAGTAGGAATAATAGGAATGTTGGGAGGATATAATCTTGCATTACTCTTCATCTACAAAGCTGCTCTATTTTTGTGAATTATATGCTCTTAAACAAATGAGTTTAAAAGAATCAGTTTCCTAATATCTCTTATTTTTTTTTTAAAAAAGGAGAAGGGTTTATTAATCCAGTTTGGAGGGACTCCAAAAGGGTGAACCAAGTTTCCCAAATTTTCAGTCAACTTGGATTGCTGAGAATTCTGGAAGCTGAAATCCATACTATATAGGGAAGGAGTTTATAGATCAAGGCAAGCTGTAATAAGGCTATAGCTATTCATGTGTTTTTCAAACTGATCAATAACAGACAGGAAGTTTCATTTTTTCAAATGTCATCTTGAATTGGGGGCACAAGTTGATGTTGTCTGAACCAGATAGCTTTCCAAACAGCTACACTGGGCAATCCAATTCCAGATTTTCTGTGATTGTCTCGGCCTTTTACAAATTTTTGTGTCAGTGTATTATTCTGCTATTGCATTTCTGGTATGAATGAATAAAGGAGCATAGCAACTATTTCTCAAAAGTAATTCAAAGTACATAAACCATGATAGATTATGCAGGCCCCTGTATCAGGCCTGACTACTCTGGACAGACTGAATCACAGCAAGCTACTCTTTGTCTACTGTTTGCTAATCATTAATAAAAGTTTAAATTTCCCAGAAGGAATTTATGTTTAATATTGCTTAGTACCATTATTCATACAATAGGAATAATTATTCTGAATTTTAATTGTCTCTAGCAGAAGAACATGACTAACCATATTCCTTAAAATCCGTATTATAAACAGTTACAAAATCAATAACTACACGGAGAAAATGTTTGGAGGATTATAACCTTGGGTATTGTAATATATAGAGCCATCCTTATTTCTGGTAAAAATAATAAACTAAATGAATTTTATTAAGCATGTTTTATTTTCTACCATAAACAATGGCATTAAAGCTAATCTAAAACAAGAAACAGACTTAACCTGGAACTCCTATTGTACAGTTTTTCTGTACATAAAATATCAAAGAAAGTACTTCCTGTTTTTTTAGCAGATGGTTTCAAATGTAAATTTAATTACTGCTAATAACTTGATAGAAAAACAGTTTATTGTTTATACATAATGGATCAGTGATTTTTCATCACTCCTCATGCATGTGTACATCAATCCACACCATATATATAAATAACTATTTTATTGGCTTAAATATTGCAGAATATTCAGAATGAAGCCCTCTTCATTGAAGTTTATAGATTAAAATCTATCACCTGATCTAGTTCATGCTAGTACACTAGCCCAAAATCACCCAACTGGCTTCCATTTATATGCAAAGACAAAAAACTGGATTTCCTTGCTCTAGTCTAGCATCACGTTGCCATATTTTTCCCTTCATTTCTTTATCAAAATAGACACAATTCAGTGAATCACATTTTTGTTAATAAATGCCTTCCTTTGTAAACCCTTTTACATCTCTAGAGAGATTGACCATTAAATGTTAACATATCACTGAGTGAACTGATATTTCCATTTTAAAGGTTAACTCAAATAATTTCTTGACTGAATATATTGTATTAGACTTTTAGAAGTGATTATTTTATTAATGCAGTATTTAGACTGTATATTTTAATCCTAAATCATGTAGCAATCAAATAGTCTCACTAATTTCAGTGGGGAAGATTGTATTAAACAGTGTACTATATATAAATAGTTCTATATGAGTTAAACAAATTTGCCCATTTTGCTCTTTCTAAACAAGGGAACACATTTGATATATATACTTCCTTTTTGAATTTTGAGACTGTTGATTTAAAAGTGATTAGTGCTGTGCAACATAGAAATTACTGGAAAATTATAATTATATATGAATCATACTACCATAGTTAATTATTTTAAGATCCAGAAACCACATATACATATAGATTGTATACTTTCTTACTGATCAGCTTTCTGATGATGAATATATAATATGCATTTTCAAATGAAATTATTCTAATTCAGGTCATTATTCTAAGATAAATACTGTATATAATATTGTTTTTGTGTACTTTGAGATTTTTGGTAACTTTGTCCATGTTTGTTTTAACCAGATCCTTTCTTAGGTAGTATTTTAACACAATGGAAAGTATACAAAGATGTTTCCTTCATTACTGAAAACTTTTTATCATTTATCATAAAAATATTTGAGATTTCTTGTGCATAATAAAATGCATGCAATTTTTTTTTATTTATTGCCCCAAAGGAAAATAACAATAGTAATTAAAGAAAAATAAAGGTATTGAGTAGGATATTATAAGATATTAATTGCCCATTTCATATGTGTGACTCACCAAATTAAAAACAAAAATCAAAATAGATATAAATAAATAACAAAAAATAATAGTTGAAACAAAGTATAACAATTTAAAAATAATTAATTATATAATGTAACATACAGGAGAATCAATAAACAATACAGCCATCATACCGGCTACATACCACCATGGGATTCCCACATCTGATTACAAAACCATGCTGTTAGGAGCCTCCTAAAGTCCAATAATGTTTGGGCCAGTCTAACCTCAAGGGAGATGATGCAAGTGCCAGGCAGAAAAAGCTCTCCTCCTAGATCCATCAGACAGAACTCCTTAATAGACAGGACTTTTAGCATACACTTTCTGCCAGAACTGATGGATGTAATTTAAGGGAGAGGCCCTCAAATAACTCAGCCCCAAGCCATGTAGGGCTTTAAAGGTCATAACCAGCATTTTGAATTGAACCCAGAAGCAAAACCATAACTAATGCAGCACATGGTGCAGAGGTGTAACGTGCTATTTTTGGAGTGCACATAACTGCTCCCACTGCCACACTTTGCACCAGTTGCAGCTTCTGGATTCTCTTCAACAACTTAAAATTGTTTATTAAATGTATTATTAAATTTATTTCCTTTAGAATATAATTCAAGAAAATCTGACCAGATTGCCCAAAAATCTTTTCCCTTGACTCATGATTGATTAGTAATTGAATTAATGGATCCTCCATACTCATCTATTTTTAGATGCAAATTTCAATAATTTACTACATAAAATCAAATTTAGCTTTCAAAAGAAATCAGTTTGGCACTAATAAGTATGTACTGTTCAAATCCCTAATGAAACATAGATTGGGTTCTCTTTCTGATAGGAATGATACTAATTTTCATTAGTTGGTCAAAATAATACTTATTATTAATATTTTCATGAAAACTTAACTACAATGAAAGACAATAAGACTCCCTATTGAATTTAAATGGAGTTCTCCATTAGTTTCGAGACTTGGTTTCAGAATCCTAGTTAAGAGTGGATGTTGGTTAACCCTGATGCTTCTTGTTGTTAGGGGTATATCTCTTAACCAAGGTTAAAGCAATTACTTGAAAGTCATCCTTTTTATGAATACCTAAGAAGGGTAACCTGATTTGTAATCCATGAAAAATAGTTAAAAGATTTGGAGCATTACAATTGTGCCATATCTTAAGCCTTGTTTGAACATAGTGTTACCTAAGACATGGCATACTTAATTATTATAGGCATGCTTGGGCATGCTTACTCTGATTATAGATGAATGCCGGAGGAAAGGGAGATCTATTTATGCTTCCCATCCACCCCCTACCAACAACCCCAGTATAAAGAACAAATAATTCAGTGCCCTGTCTGAATACATTTTGCAAGAGAATGGAGAATATTTGTGCTTAGACGAATGTTATTTTAAGATGTTTTCTTTAATATATTTTGCATTTGTTAACTGTATTAAATGTCATTCCTTGGCAAAGAAGTAACATATAAACTCAAGGTTAAATAAATGAAACATATAGTATACACCATTGTAAATCTGCGGCACTTCTATGCAGATGGAGGAAAACCGTAGAATGCACAGGATTAAAATACCAAAATCCTGAAAATCTTCCCTCCTATTTTTAGTCTAACAAATTGCCTGTCCTCATTGTTAAGAGCATATATTTACAAGTTACATTTTGTGAGCAGTGTTTGCAACATCCTTTTTATTCCCATGTTAGTAAAAACTTTCCAAGAGTAGAGAAACGTTCTTACATATGATGGAGGGTATATTTTTCTAAATGGTTTGTATCTGCATATTTCTAAAGCATTGCATTGCATTGTTTTTCTACCTGTTGTAAATATTATCCTAATCCTAATCAAAAGAATAAGGAAAATAGCTCAGTGATTAAAATTATATTTCTGTAAATAAATCCATTGCATTAAGCACATGGTATTATTTGTATTTGCAAAAAAGGAATAAACTTTATCTAATGTGTTTGAATGCTTTATGCTGAGACACCATATAATATAGTGTCTGTATGAATATATAACTAGAAAGTACAAGGTGTGTCATTATAATTTTATAATAAGATTGGAGAATGAAACGGAAGGATATTCTGGAAAATCAACTTCTCTTTTGCTTATCTGCCAGATGCTGAGTTCATGAATCTGCTTTCTGTGCTGTGGCTGATGATATCATAAATGCTCAGAGCTGTGCTGGGAGCAATATCGTGAAACCAGTTCACCTTCATTAGCCCACCAGGAATCCAGGAAGCAGAGGGGATAGGGTATGGTACTGTCAACCTTAAACATTCAAAAATGATCATTTAGGCTCCAGTAAGTCCTCTGGCTCAGAAAAATGCTTCTGTTTAAGCAATTAAGGTGTTTTCTTGGGCTCATTTTGGAGGAATCTTGTCTTTTGTTAAATTATTATAATTATGAGGTGCTAAATGAAAATGTTTGTAAATGATCCCTGTGTTCAATAACTGTTTCTGCAACTTTGTTCAAATCCTGTACATATGGGAGCTCTGGAATTTTCCTTTTGGAGGGTCACTGGAAGTTCACTCAAAACGATATTATTAGATATTAACATTTGGATTCAGTGCAGTTAAATTGAGAAAGCAGGAGCCCGTTTGACTGGTTTTGCATGTGGTAGGTTATAGCTCAAGATTCTTTTATGGAGCAGTAGTTGAAAAATGAATGGATTTTAAAATTATTTTTTCATATTCTTGTTTCAGTGTTCACGTTCTTGTCTTTATAATGCAACTTGTGCTATGATTGGCAGCGAAATAAATAGATGGAAATGTCTGGGGGGTGGGGTCAGGTTAAAACACAATTTCATTTGTTAACTTTCCTTGGAAAAACTAATGGTATTAATTTACTGATAATTATAAAAAGTTAAGAGACATCTCACTGAAATATGCAGTGCAGTAATTGAAATTAAAAGTCTAGCCATGAGTCATCTACACTTCTAACTTCTGGCATTGCTTCTCATAAGGAACCTGGAAAACAGGAATTGTATTGGGTTTCTGAAAGTAATCTGCTAGATATCTTATGCTTTCTGATTAATTACAATTCTCTTTACCATTGTAATGTGCCGAAGCAATAGAAGGGAAAATATTACTGTTAATCCATTTATGGTGTAGATATGACCCTCAATAGTTTAAAATAAGCTGAAAGTGCTTCAGTAGTAATGAAACTTCTTTCAGTATTTACTGAACTGAAATCAGCTAACTTTTCACATTCATTAAGAAGCAATAACTGCTAGTTATTCCTGATGAGTTCTTTTATTTGATCTAGTAGTAACTGAAATGAAAAAGAGCCTTTGCACACGTATTAATCTTCAGAGCCATTCAGTTGCAAAAGAGTGCCTGTATTACAAATATAGGTTTAAAAAGCCAATGACATTTTAGAATTCATTCTGTTTCACTAGGCCTAGACTGCATTATATCTATAGATGTTGATCAAAAGAAGTTCTGCAGCTATTGAGTAGGCTTACCAGCTGCTACCACAAATAAGTATTAAGTGGCAAGAATGAAGAGAACATTGAAATAAAAGGCAACAGTAAAGCTGTTGGTTTCATGCATCTTTAGTGTTTATTTTGGAAAAGCATAATTAGCTGGCTTTAATAATGTGTTTACGTAGTTTGAAGGGAGCTTTGCTTTTTCAGGTGAGGGCTGGGTGAAGTGCTTTCAAGGAAAAATGATTTAAAATCTTTTTAAATCTAAAAGATAATATTCATTTATTGTAACTAAATTTACATATATTTACAGAATTTAAAAAAATTGGTTGTTACCTAACAATTTGGGACACTGGTATTCTGGTTATCAGAAATTTAAACTAATTAATTGATATCCCCAAATATCCTGGTCTGATTCTTAACCTTTATTTAATTCATTGTATCTATAGTAAGCCTGTTCGCTAATTTTTTAAATTTATGAATGGGTCGTAGAATGTGAACGTTTATGTTCTATTTTAAACTTCTTTTTTATGAGAAGGTTACTTTTATGATCTGGTCTTAGAGTACAATAAAATATTCATTATGAGAAGGTTTTTACGTTGTGGATTTTTATTTATTTATTTATTTATTATTCAAATTTCTATACCGCCCTTCTCCTTTCGGACTCAGGGCAGTGAACAGCCAAAATAAAACATTTATACATAAAGTACGATTAAAAATAGATTTAAAATAATTAAATTTGGCCCATAGTTTAAAATTTATCAATTTAAAATCCATATCAAAATTTAAAATCAACCATAAAATCATAAAATCAAGAAAGACCGGCTAACTGAAAGAGATGAGTTTTTAGGGCCCGACGAAAAGTCCGGAGGTCGGAGATCACTCGTATCTCTGGGGGTAGATTGTTCCAAAGGGTAGGTGCCACCACAGAGAAGGCTCTCCTCCTGGGGGTCGCCAGCCAGCATTGTCTAGCCGATAGCACCCTGAGGAGGCCCTCTCTGTGGGAGCGAACTGGCTGGTGGGAGGCTATTGGTGGCAGAAGGCGGTCCCGTAAGTACCCTGGCCCTAAGCTATGGAGCGCTTCGTAGGCTTTCACAGAACCAGGTCTGTAGAACAACTTAGGTTACGTAGGTAAAACCTGGCTAGAAAGAATATGCACATAAAAGCCTAGAAAAAGGAAAAAAGACACATTGTACCTTTACAGGGAGGATATCTGAGAAGTGGATGTGGTGCTCACTGATGAGTTTACTTAATAGGCAGAAATACTATCTGAGTGTCCCAGAGAGCAACAGAGTGCAGTTTGTCAGCAGAAAAAAGGCCCAGAAACTTGTGATGAGATTTCACAGACCAGGGCTGTAGAACAACTTAGTTTACGTAGGTAAAACCTGGCAAGAAAGCATACACATAAAGACCTACAAAAAAAGGAAAAAGACACATTGTACCTTTACAGGGAGGATATCTGAGAAGTGGGTGTGGCTCACTGATGACGCCTTAATAGGCAGAAATAGCTATCTGAGTGTCCCAGAGAGCAACACAGAGTTGCAGTTTGTCAGCAGAAAAAAGGCCCAGAAACTTGTGAATGAGATTTCACAGAACCAGGGCTGTAGAACAACTTAGTTTACGTAGGTAAAACCTGGCTAGAAAGAATATGCACATAAAAGCCTACGAAAAAGGAAAAAAGACACATTGTACCTTTACAGGGAGGATATCTGAGAAGTGGGTGTGGCTCACTGATGACGCCTTAATAGGCAGAAATAGCTATCTGAGTCTCCCAGAGAGCAACCCAGAGTTGCAGTTTGTCAGCAGAAAAAAGGCCCAGAAACTTGTGAATGAGATTTCACAGAACCAGGGCTGTAGAACAACTTAGTTTACGTAGGTAAAACCTGGCTAGAAAGAATATGCACATAAAAGCCTACGAAAAAGGAAAAAAGACACATTGTACCTTTACAGGGAGGATATCTGAGAAGTGGGTGTGGCTCACTGATGACGCCTTAATAGGCAGAAATAGCTATCTGAGTCTCCCAGAGAGCAACCCAGAGTTGCAGTTTGTCAGCAGAAAAAAGGCCCAGAAACTTGTGAATGAGATTTCACAGAACCAGGGCTGTAGAACAACTTAGTTTACGTAGGTAAAACCTGGCTAAGAAAGAATATGCACATAAAAGCCTACGAAAAAGGAAAAAAGACACACACACATATATATATATACACATACATACATACATACATACATACATACATATATACATATATATTTGCCTATGTAAATTTTCTCGGGTATTTATGTGTGTACAGTTAATATCTCGGGTTTCTTCCTGTGTAATTGTAAACATATCCTTAAAAGGGTAGTAGCAACGATTCGACGAAATCGCATTCGTCATCTTCTGGCTGATGTTCTCGGTTTGGTGCTTATGGGCAAACTGTGTGATCGTAACTGACGTTTTTCTATGAAAAGAGGCAAAGGTGTATTCTGATTGGTTGAGAGTGTTGTTGTATTCTGATTGGCTGATGACGTAGCTGTATTTTGATTGGGTGGAAGCGCTGTTGCTTGGTTGTGGGTCAGTGGATAAGTTATGCTGGAACTGGTGGCAACACAGGCATTTTGATGAACCTTTGATCTATGGTTTATATTTTGTGTTAAGATTATAGACAGATGAATCATAAATTAAATTAAAATTAAAAAATGAATTAAAATCATAAAACAAAAATATTTCTAAAACAATAAAAATGGAAATTACAATAAAATAAAATTATAATTAAAAGATGGGGAGGAAGCAGGATATGTGGAGGGGGATATTGCTTCTTATTTCATTAACACTTCCAGTGTGATAGACCCCATTAGGGCCTCAAGCCATCTGGCAAAGTCAGGTCTTCAGGCTCTTGCAGAAGGCAGAAGGATGGGTATCAATCTCACTTCAGAAAGTAAGATGTTCCAAAAGCTAGGCATCATGGCAGAGGAGGCCCTTTTGGGCCCGGCCAGTGGGAATTTATTGACTGATGGGACCTGCAGCATCTTTTCTGCCAGTGCAGGTGCGCAGGGCAGTCACAGTGGGGTGAGACAGTTCCTCAGGTAACCTGGACCCAATATAGAGATTGATCTCCATAAGTAACCCCAATATGGAGATTAATCTCAGAGTTCTACTTAGATAAGTTTACGAAATAGCAGAATTTTTTGGAATAGATATTACTTCTGGACTATCTTGTACAAAAATTATTCTGTCACAAAAATATTTAAGTAATTAATATAAAGTCAGATTTTCTTTGCAGTAGTTTTATATGTAGGATAAGGTATAAAAATATGGATGGGCCTATGTGATTTCTCCAGATACTGAATGTTCAGAGTAACTCAGTAATATTTGGTGTAGCAGTTGCTGTATACAGCATTTTCCCCATAATAACTTACCAAGGGAGGAAGAACTATTGTACTAAAGCACTTTTAAGATTTTTAGCGAACCTGTCAATTAACTTTTTGCTTTTGAAGATTGTTGGGGTGGTGGTAAAGGGAGAATAAGGTAAGCATATACGATCTATGATTGTAACTGAGTTCTTAGATGTATTCTCAATTACATAGCTGAAAAGTTGCAGCTTTGAAATTCTTACATAACCCTCTATTCATGAAATGTAATTACTACTTGGCTCAAGAAAGCAATATCTTTGGACATGGTAATATATCTTCTCAGATAGGCTATTATCCTCCAGATGTTTAATATTTCATTTCTCATCACCCATGCCCATAACAGCATGGAATTGTGGGAGCTGTAGTTTTAAAAGACTAAGTATCTCTTAAATACCTATCATTCATGGCTATAATGTTGCTCAACAGATTATTGTGAATATACCACAATTAAAATTTAAAACGGCTAAAAGATGTCTTACCCATTTGAATAATAAAATTGTATTTTCAAATTTCTTTTTCAGAAACAAGAAGCAATGAATATGGTGGGATTTACTCCTAAGTAAAAGACTTGCTGCCTCAGAACTAAAATGTCAATAGGATCTTTACTTTTTGTTTCTCCTTCCACTGCTGCTCTCATTGCTCATAACATCATTTTATTATCAAAGAATGGTAGAGAAAAGTGGAGCAAAGCTAATAGTCTTTCTCTTGTAGTCTCTCTGGATGTAGTCTTTTCATAAGTGTCTTGAACTTGACCTCTTTTGAACGACACAAAGGTCCAACACACATTTTAAAAAGTTATATTTAAATTTTAATGTTTTTTTTAATTCTGCAAAGCTATTTAATAACACACTCTCAAAACACAGAGCATAAATCTTTCAGGATGGTCATAGAATAAAAACTGATGGACAAAGCAAAGAAGCTTAGCAAATGCCCTGAAGCAGCTTTCTTTCTTTTACATAGATACCTACTACAGATGAATGTTCACATGATTTTTAAAAAGCTTTATTATGATTTAATCACCATGGTGCTGATACTAAAAATATAATTTAGTAAAGAATGGAGTTTGCTTTTTTAATACCCCACCCCTCATTATAAAAATGTTCTTTGTTGTGAGGCAATGGGGGCATTAGAAAGATTTACAGTAACAATATAAGTGACTATAATGAACTTGGGAACAAGGGAGTATTGTTATGATAGAGATCTTCTAGCATTTCTATCAGCACAAATATTGAGGGACACAGTCTCCTTTCTGTGTATCTGTATATTAATATTAACATGAGCAGTAATTACAGGTACTTGGGATAAAGTTTATTTATGAGAACATAATACTTAAAGGTAAGAGCTGTAAAAATTAAAGATATCTACTCGTAACAAAACCATTATCAACCATAGTTTTTCTGCAATATTTCAATTATGTTTATTCAGAATATCTCAGCATCTTTATATTCTACTAATATTATTAATATTAATTTTGCAAACTTTATTTCAACTCCTAATATAACTCAGCTTGGGGACTTGTCCTTATTTATTGAAGGACAGAACTGGCCACATCATCATTTGTGTAACTAAAAAGCCCTCAAATCCTACTGGTATAGCATTGATCTTTTGCAAGTCTTATTAAATGAAAAATTGGTAACCTACATTGACGGTTTTGTTTCCTACCTTCCAAGTTTTACCTTAAATTTTTTACATCTTACTGTTTATCTTTTTAAGTTGAAGAGCCTGTTCCTACATGTCAGTGATTCAGCGCAACCAAAATCATCACCAAGCTTTGATCAAAGAAGAGATAAGCAAGGATAGTATTCAGATAATATTTTTACAACACTACATCAGAATTTTCCAGTTAATACTCCAAGTTCAAATAGCCTCAGAAAATACTATAAGATAAAATGGGTTTTGTTCTGTTTGTCTACAGACTGCCCCATTCTCACCTGTTAATTGTTTCAGACAAGCAAATGATGGAAGCAACTGTGATAGAATTTGACCAGTTTTTAAGAGTTGTCATGGTACACGTGACCAGGACTTCTTTAGTCGTCTCCATATGCTGTTCTGCAAAGCCTTAAACTTGTTTAGGTTGAGAAACATTGGTCTAAGGAGGTGGAGCATTGCTGAGAAGACTTGAATATATAATCTCTGTCAGTGATATTTCTTCAGGCTTGGAATTCTCAACAAGTCCTCCCTAATTGATATCATTGGACATACAGATTCAACTTGGATGAATTATTAAGTTATTTTAACTTTAATATATGCAAACAGGACATCATGCTAGAAAAAACAATTGTTCTCATGTTGGATTTTTCTAAATATTAAAAAGAATCAGGGAATAATTTTATATCAAAATATTTATCATGAAGGGACAAGTTATTGATACAAAAATAATCTATGAGAATTTATTTGTTATAACACATTATTCATGGGAAATGCTGTTTATGAGCCATTGTTTTCCTGGTTTTAAAGATTCATAGGCAGCCTGTAAATCTATTAATGGTTGGTAAATCGTAGCTTCTATGAGAGTGGTCTAGTGGCCTAGTAGTGAAGATCCTTGCCTCCCACTTAGAAGGTTGAGAGTTCAATCCTGGATAGTGGCAGAGGTCTCTTTCCTAGGGTGGAAAGAAAAATATCTGCTCCATATTCTGAATAGGCTTTTATAAGATTGTGATAAATCACCATACTGTTCTAGATGTATCTTACTTTACAAGAGATTTAAAAGAGTCCCTTATTATGGTTGTAAAAGCATGTTTTTTTTTAACCTAAAACATAATAATGAAAGCTATTTGTATGTGTGCAATTGTTTTGAGAATAGGTTATCACACAGAATATGTGCGTAGCAGCAAAATTCTTATCTTAATATCAGAACAATGTATTTTTAATTCTACAAAGTCTGAGAGGAAAAATGCATTATTTCGACATTGGGCTTAAAAACCCAATCTAATGATACATGCTGATTTGTCAGTTTTATCATTTTATTTAAATATCCAGTTTACTAATATAGAATATCCAAATATTGTTTAACATGCGAAGTTTGTACACATAGAACAGTTGTGAAGGGGTACATGGGAAACTGCAATGAATAAGGGGTGTAGCCCTTCCACTTATGAAAATAGTTGGAGTGGAAGAAATGCATCATGCTTTTTTTATTCAAAAAGTCAAAATAATCTAGTTCAGCTATAGTTTCTTAACAGAATTAATTTTATTTAATTTTGAATACACTGAATTAATTTTGCTGTTCATTCCTCAGGCTGTAAAGTTATTCATAATATTTATCTTGACTCAATCTTCTTGGTGGTTTCTTTACATCAATGGACATTGTACAATGTGTAATATAGTCTTGCTAATGGGCTCACTTTCAAGTATTTCCCCTCAAGGTTACTATTATTGTAGCATTATTTGCAGTGATAACTCAAATTTAAAAAAGTGTGAAAAGAGGGTGTGGTTCTCCACAATTACCCTAAAGTTATTTTCAAGGGTAATTTTCTGCACTTTCTAATTTGCTTCAAACGATTAAGTCTGGCATGAAAAAGTCATTTTTTAAATCTCTTAAATGTTGGGATAACTGATCTTAGTATCCAGCCCCTTGGAGATTGCTGAATCATTACCAGAAAGAGAAACATTGTGCAATTGTGAACACTTGAAAAAAGTTCTAAAAAATATGAAGTGACTTATAATTTAGCTTCTGTTCTTGATGCTGAAGAATTACATACAATGGGAACTTAATTTTTGATCAAATCCAAGTTCAAATCTCATTTTATAAATCTCCCTATGAACAATTTAGTCCAATGAATGCTAAATTTGTGTCTTAGTATTTTACAATAATGAAAACTGCATGTTATTAGTTGTATCCCAGACTGTATAAAGATATATTTCATGAAAAAAAAATCTATCTTGATTCTAATCGGGTTAATGTTTCTCTCCCATTTACAGCACTGGAAGTATAGCAATCTGGTCTCCATTGAAAGTAATGGGAAATGGGAAAAAATGAGTATTGGACCTAAAAGTTACCAGGCCTCATACGTAGAAAGTAGCTAACCAGCAGCTAACCACTACCTGTGGCTTTGAGTTGGTCAAATGTCTTACAAAGATGAGCACAATTTGGAAGTAGTTGAAATAGAAAACAAACATCCAAAGAAACATGTAAAACATTTTTTACTACATGTCAACCTTTGTTACTGATAAGAATATTATTTTAAATAGACTGTCCTCTCATATAGTTTGCATAGTAATTAGTAGTTGGGTTTAACCCTTAACAGTTCAGCTAGTTTGTATTTGTAAAATAAGGTTTCATGCTGGAAACAAAAATAAGAACTTTTATAGATTTTCATATTTTCATATGGGTTAGATCAGCTTTTGTAAATCTCTGGCATCGGGGAATGCCAAGATACTTTCAAAATTATAACCAACATATATAGTATTTAAAAGTATCAACATGTATTTGCAAATCTGGGTTTACCAACATTTTCTCCAAATGTCCCTTTTTTCTGCTGACATATTGTCACATCAGAATTGTTTTCAAGTCTAGTTTATCAAAGAACCAAGCTAACAAACAACCTTTGAAAGGATGTTTGCAGGGAAAGAAGTAATAAACACAGTGTTAAATATTATTCTCTTGCTTATACTTTTTCCCTTATAGTTGCTATCACAGTGCCCACATTAGTTCTGAAAGTCAAACGGCAATGTGAAATTTATATTGTTCTTTTGTAATAAACATACAGTTCCATTTGAAGGTTGTGTGAATGTACCATACTGATATTGTCAAGTGAAAGAACATCTATCTTAAATATTTGAGCAATAGATATCTTTGGAGATAAAAAAGTAAAATTATAATGTGTTAATGACTGTTAACATTGTGACTCATACACTAAACAGAGACTATCAATTTTGTGTGTTAGTAATTATCCTTTTCAATGCTACTACTTCTAAATTCTGCTTTCCTATATTCCGCATTCTGTGACCATGAATACCTCAGTCCTCATTTTTGAGAATTCATCTAAAGTTTTTCTCTTAAAATTATTTTAATTTTCTGAAAGTAATGATTCTTTCAGATTGCTATTAGCCATCTTTTATAGATGGATGGTGTGAGCTAAGAAGGAATGCATTTCCAAACTATATTTTTTCACTTATGTAACAGAATTAGTGCTTGAGGTTTTAGACTGGAACTGAATAAATCCAAGATTAGGTCTTCATTTGAACAAGGAATCCTGGATAACTTTTTGAAATAGGCTAAGATATGGTGATTGACCTGACATTATAAGCAAAAAAGATGTAAAAATAATAACCAATAAAATAAATATTAAGACATTCAAAAGATTTCTGTCTTTTATTGATGTTTATTTTAGATACTCTTATGCTACCTCTCAAAGTGATATGGATAAATAAAAACGTACAAAAAATATTAAACAAATGAAAACAAGCTATGATACAGTTCTACTCCATAATATCAAACCCACGGTGCTCACTTTTCTACCCTAAAAATTCCTGTTTAATCTCTGGATAAGGCATGCATCTTACCTTTAAATCTCTTATCTTCTTCCTCACTGGTTTTAAAGTACAAATTTGTGATACTGAATAGTAGCATTAATCTAAGCAATAAGGAATCTTCAGATTATCTTTGTTCCACCATTTTTATTCAGTGTGTGGTTAGCATTTTATTTGTAGCTCTTTCAGGATATAAACCTTGATAGAAGTGCTCTTAATCTTATATGCAAGTTTCCATGAATGCAAGCTTATATCTTCAATTAACTAATTTATGCACAACATAATAACACAAAATTCTCTTGCATTTATAGCAAGTATTAACCCATCTGTTATTAGTTAACATCCATTCAGAACTTAAATATAGGATTCATGTCTCGAGGGAAGACATCCTATTTTGATGCCAACGGTTCCATGTTCAAATCTTGGTATTCCTAAATGCAGTTGGAAAATTCCTCCTTGAAATCTTACAATTAATCAGCATCAAAAATACTTAACCAATGAATTACTAAACGTAACAACAGAAAGCAATGTTCTGTATTCTTATAGTGTATCTTCAGATGCTGTCCATCCTGAAAGGGATAGGGTAGAAGAAATCAAACCCAAGCCATGGTGATTTACTCAGTGAAATTACATATGCTAGTTTCATGTGTTCCATCATCTAAGATGTTGATCTCCCAAATGGTGGGTATACTGAGAATCAATCTACTCTCTTCCAGATTTGAAAATTATTACTAATATTGCTGTCAATAATTTGCTGGAATTGTCTTGCAATTTTTCAAAAGGTTTTTTTTCTTCTCTAAAAGTGGAAATTCTCTAAAACTTGAGAAATATTTCAGAATTTCTGTTGAGTTTTTGGTGAACTGATCTTTCTTCTGTCACATACCTTTCATTCACTCAGAAGCTCTTGGATTTCCATACTTCCTAATTTGAAAAAGCTCAAATGAAATTTATTGAAGCATAGAAACCCAAGGAAATTTTAGGCTGCTGGAAAGAGAATTCTCTAAAAAAAAATCACATATTTCTTGGTTATTTCTTAAGTAAATAGGAGCAAGAATACTTTATTTCTACCTTGGAGCTTACAATGGGGGAGTTCTACCCAAGCCTAACACATTGTGTGCTAGCCAATGAGTAGTTGGGCTGAACAGTTTCTTGGAGGAGTAAGTTCATCCATTCTATATGTCAGCCAGTGGTGAGACTTAACCAATAAGGTCATTTTGTAAGTAAATGTTTTTCTTTCTGAAATCTCTTCAGTGTTTAATTCAGATTCTCTTGAGTATTCCATTTTTAAAATATAATTTTAATGTCTAATTCTTCAGGACTCCATCTGCAGTGTTGATCTAGGGCTGGCGATGACCATCCAAACTCATATGGCATTGGGCTCCTACTGTTTGTGGGTGAAAGAGAATGAGACTTAAGAGAAAACCTGTAAGAAAAAGGGTTGGCATGACTAACATCAATTGATGAAAAAATATTACAAAATGCATACAGACAGAGAAGTGAAAGGGGAAAAAAAGCTAGCAATGGTGCCAGGATTCATAATTATAGTACTTGTCTCTTAATAGAAATTTATCTTGCCCTGAGAACGGTTTTGTTTATGTTCAGGTACATGATGAACAAAGAAGCATAAGCTTTGTTCACAGAACCTCCAGGTATAATTTTAAGAACACCTGTTACAACCCCCTTCTTTTGCCAAAAGAAAAATTCATATTAAGCTACTGTATTGAACATGCAATCAAAAAATTAACTGTAACTCAGTCTACTACATGAAAAAAATGGCAGAACATACCATAATATTTCTCTGATATTATAAAACATTGCATTATCTTTAAAATCTCTAGTTTCAACCACCAGAATATCTGGAATGTATCCAGCCTTAAACATATCCAAATATATATCCCTCCCTTGATTACTTCCTTCTTGTATTGCCTGTCTTGAATGCTATAGTGGCAGAATGCCAAGTACAAGAAATTCTATTTCTGGTCATTATAATTGTAAGTAAGCATATTAAGAATACTGATAGCCTGGGAAAGTAATATATTCCAGACTTTGACATTTCAGACTGGCAACAGACACGTTTAAAGGAGTGAAACGGTGAGAAAGGGACACTTGAAATGCAAATAACCATACCTCATATAAATACTAGAGGAAGTTTTATATCTAGACAAAGCTATGTGGCATCTGAAACTTGAAGATTTTCTAATTTGCTCAAGATTGGCATTGTGTTCTTTATTCCTGGCCCTAAAGAATCTTGGAGTGATCATTTCTGCTTTTCTGGCTTCCAACTACTTCACACCTCAGACCTTTCACTACAGATTTCCATCATAGCAAGCTGTCTACCTTATGATGTTGCAAAAACTCAATTTTCAAGGTACATTGGGGGTACAGATAAAGGGGGGTGTGGAGCATAGTAATTGGAATCTGCTTTTCAGCAATTTTGCAGTTGGGGATTGTTTGAAAAGAATATAATTTTTAGTAATACTTGCCTGTATGAAAGACTCTTAAGATTAGTAGATACTACAATTTCAAGCAAGTGAAGGGTTTCACAGAAAACTCACAGATTTAAAGCATACAATTATTTTAGTGAACATAATAAAATATATTTTAGATTATGCTGTGAAATATCTACATTCAATATGTGATTAAAAAAAACTTTGTTCTCAAAGTCTTGCTAAACAACTTTTCCAACATTATCTATAAATATATCTCTGCATGTATTTATTAGAGCTTAATTGTTGACTTATCTGAACAGTTGTGGGAAAGGGGTTGCCATCTAGTCTTAAGGAGTTGTGTTCAGAATGTTTGGATAAGAATTGATTGCATAATTGAAACATCTCAAATTTTCCAAATAATTATCAACAGCAGAAGGTTTTCCCCCCCAATAAGTATAACATCTGAGAAAAATGCTATAAAAACATCTAGGCATAGCTTTTTATACACATTAAGAGAATATAGTCATCCATAGAAATATGATGTAGATCTAGAGATACGTTTGTTAACGTTCATAAACTGGATTATTCGTATAGAGCAGCGGTTCTCAACCTGGGGGTCGCGACCCCTTTGGGGGTCGAACGGCCATTTCACAGGGGTTGCCAAAGCCCTCTCTCGCCCCCCCATGCCTTCACTCACCCTCACCCTCTGCCTCTGTTGGATCGCCCGCTCCCAATCTATTGCTGCCTCCGGAGTCCCAGCTGATGGCTAGAGGGAAAAAAAAGTTTTAATTCTTGCCGCAGGGCTTCAAAGAGCTAGCTGCAAAGAGGTAAATTCCTGGAGCAAATTTTTTTCCCCCTAGCTATGCTGAAAAGAGAAAGCGAAAGCAGGGTCTTTGCTGCAACCTGACAAAATGAGGCAGAGAGATTTCTTTTTCTTTTTCCTCACCAAAAAAGGTAGGTACAAAACTGCAAACAATGGGAAATTTAGGGCAAGAGGAGGTTCAAAATTTTAAAACACAAAAGAAAAAAAGCTCTATTTAACTAGGGAATTGTAATAATTGAGATACTATTAATTGTATATTGTGTTGAAAGCAGAAATGGTTAAGTTGTGGTTTGGAGGAATATATGGGGGAAATTATTTGGTTTATTATTGGTAAATATAATTAATTGATTTGTAAGAAATTGGATTGCATGGAAATAATTGGAATATTCATGTTCATATTGATTAATATACAAAAAATATAGTTATATAACTAATTGATTTATATTAAAATGTTGAATTTGTATTAAACAACTGTATTACATAATTAACCAATGTGAGGATGGATATAAAAATAGATGACAATGCGAAGGGGTATAATATAGAATAGAAGGGAAAAATTGAATTTGATTAAGATTAGAGATGAGGATGAAGGGTAATATTGGTTTTTTTAAAAAAATAGATGAGGAATAAATATGGTAAAAAGGAAATATAGAAATTGTAAATTTAATTGAAATGACTAAATACTGTGTTGGAAGAAATATCCTTCTGGGTTCTGCTCCAAGTGGGGAAAAAGACACTGGAAACATGGAGACTGTTTGGAAAGATGTTTTAATGGTGGACAGGATCACATGGCTTGATGGGGCCCATTGTGTTAGTTTCTGTTGCTATTGTGTTGCAAATGTCCTTTGACAAAGGATTGACTTTCTGCCTCTGG